GGTTGAACAATTTGGGCCGCGAGCTTTAAACTTCCTACGGGCTCGTATTGTACCGGTGCGTACCGTATCAGCAAAACCGTAGCAGCAGCATAGTGCCTTCCCCTTTTTGGTAGCATAGCAGCAGGTCCCTTGATAGCAAAGAGTGGCTTACTAGTGCCACTTCAGCAGTTTGGCCTGGCCTGGTGGGGTCGGGCCCTCTTTCTGCTCAGTCTTTAGAGGCAAGATTTTCTTTTTGTGTAACTGTATGCAGAAGCACTCTCACTAAGAAAAGGCACATCCACCAGCCAGCTACGGTACTGGCTGAAGCAGCAACTTCTTAGCTATTTTTCAAGCCAAGACAACAGGCTTTTCAAACCATAACGACCAGGTTCTTCAGGTGGGATAGAAAACTGGTAACTGGCTAGATAAGATTAATAATAGCTGTACAATTAATTACATTAGTGTCAAAAATGGGATGCTGCTCTACTGGCCTCCCCAAGGCTTGGGGTTGCTGACCAGTTACTGGTACCAAAACGAAGCTCCTCTCCAGCGGCATTGGCGCTGATACTTTGTCCCTGTACAAGCCGCTCCGGTATAGGCTTCCGCAGGTAACCTCTTGCTCTAATATCGGCTTAAGCCCTTCGATCTAAACCCTTCGCAGATTGACGACACTCCACTCGAAGGGAAAGCTGATGGTTATGTTAGGGTTTCCAAGCGTCTGCGACGATTCGTACGCGTTTGCGAGAGACTCTAGGCGTCAACGACGGGTCGCAGCGCGAGGACGACGATCCAATCAGCGGCGGCGGGGCACAGCACCGACTTGGGCCACTGGAACGACTGCTTCTGCTCTGCCGAGACGTCGCGCTGACGTTTGCGATCTGCCACGTCATCGTCATCATCAGATCGCTTGCGCTTAGATGATTCGCTCCCCGCTGCTGCTGCTGGTACAATCGAATCAGAATCGGAATCGGAATCGAGGCCGTAGTCGAACGGGGAGGTCGGGGAACGCGGAGTTGCGCAAACCAGCGCCGCTTTCCGCGCGACTTCCTCTCCTTCACCCCCCTCCGCAACCTCCGCGAGGAACGGATGCGCCAGCAGCTCCGCCGCAGTCCACCGCTCCGAAGGGTTCCTCCGCAGGCAGCACTCAATAAACCCGCGTACCGCCGCCGGAACCTCCGCCGCGATCCGCGGCATCGCATCCGTGCAGGAAACAGCGTAAAGCACGGAGAACATGCCACCTGTCACGTCGGACCACGCGGGGCGGCCAGTAGCCATCTCGAGGACGGTACACCCGAGAGACCAGATGTCGACCGCGGGGGTCTGCTGCTCCCCGCGCCCCACCTCCGGCGCCATCCAGTTCGCCGTTCCGCGCAGCCCGTGGCTTGCGCCGGTAGCGGCAGCGTCGGCGGCGGACCAACCCGCGACTTCGCGCGCAGCAATGGTGGTGGCGGCTGCGGCGGCGGGGGAGGTGCTGCTGACACGGAAGGCGGCGCCGAAGTCGGCGATTTTGACGTGGCCGTCGCTGGTGAGGAGCAGATTTAGGCTCTTAATGTCTCCGTGAACGACGCTCCGCTCGTGGATATAGCAGAGCCCCTTAACGACGTCCGTAGTGAACTTTTTCAGAGTCAACGTATCGAGCCCGCGGCAGCAACCCGACGAGGATCTCAAAAGCCCCGCGACGGAGCCGCCCGCGGCTAACTCTAAGTACAGGTTGCGGACCTTCGCGTCGCCTTCTTGCGACCAATCCGCGCCCCGGAATCCCACGATCTGCTCGCACTCGAGGGTGGAGAGAATGGAGATCTCGTTTTCCAAGGCTTCCACTGCGCCATTGTTGTTTCTCAACCGCTCTTGTTGCTGAGGCGACGCCTGCGACGCTTGCGACGATGCGGACTTCACTGCGAAAAAATCGCCCAACGTGTTGTCGACTGCCATGTGCACGCGACCGAAGGAGCCCGATCCTAACAAACGACCTCGCTTCCATTCTGAGGGAGTGTCGGAATTTCTAAACTCGATAGCCATTTCGTAACAGAGAGAAACAGTCTTCGAAAGTTTTAAGGATAGCTGTGAAGGTTGCTGGGCTTGCAACACAAACTCCAGCTGGTTTCGTGAACTGGAATGAGCTGCAGTCCAGCTTTACTCAGAAAAGAGAAGTCGAGGAGTCACTGCTGCTGAACTGAATTATGCTGTGGTCCGGTTTGCGTTTTCTCCCTCCCTCCCATCCCATCCATCACGCTTTATTCAAACGCGAGAACGTTCGTCGCTTCCCATTGGTGGTACGTCTGGCTTCGCGCGTGCGAGTGCGATGCGCTATTTTTGCGCGGCTTTTCCCCTTCTGCTTGATGTATAGGCTACGCTGCACGCTGCAGCAGAGGAGGGTGGTGGTGGTGCGGTGGAGTGGACGTATGGATGGATCGAGATTCGATGGTTGGGATTTGCTTATCGCTGTTGGCAAGATGGGCAGGGCAGAATATAACAGCATTGGCAGCATAGGATGAACGTGTAGACTAGATCTGCAGCGTCGAAATTTGCTGTAAAACATTTCCGGAATCCTGCCCCAACAGATAGCGATCCGAGATTTGGGGGTCTCGGTGCAAAACGACAGAAATTTATTGCCCCGAATATGGATCGTGCAGGGTGGGAGAGGGAGGAGGGCGATGTGAGGGGGGACCAGGGGCGGAGGGTGGAGAAGGTGGCGAAGTTGCGAGTTCGTCGTGACAACGCAACCATCGGCTTGGTGTGCGGGATGCTCAATTCATTGAGGCGTTGCAAATGTGCCACGTGGAAGGGTCTGCATTTGCAAACAAGAGATTTCTGTCTGGTTCGTCGCTTTGGTTCTGATCCAAACCGATTCGCATTGATTTCCTGGTTTCTTTCAGGTTGATGCGGCAACGGACCGAGTTATGACCACCGCACCACGACCTCACGTCGGACCGCTTTTGTCAGAACCATGGCACATGGACTGTGAACGAAACGCTGCCTGAAGCTTCCTCATAATCTCAGTCACATGGGACCATCCAGAAACGCGAAACGTAGTTTGCCGGAGGAACCACAGAATTTTCCGATCCCCGTGGAAGGCGTTTGGAGCCTTGAATTGGCGTGCGCCGTGCCTTGGGAGTTTCAAACAAGCAAACAGTTTGAGGTACGCAACAGTGTGTCGATAGTTTGAACTTTTTTGTGTGCGGTTTGCGGCGAAGTGGATGGCGAGGAAATGACGGCCACAGCCGCGTTGGCTAGAAATAAAAAATCTGGTTGGTCCAATCCAAACCTGCACGTACAGCACGGAATCCTTGTGGACAATGTGGCTGACGCTGGACAACGCGAAGAATTTGGTTGGCTGGACGAAATGCTATGGACCAGCTGCCACGGAATCGACGTGGATTCACGCTGTGCTGGACAGCGGTGCTGCAACTTGGATTGACCGCAAAAATATCGCGGCTCGATGTAACCTTCGTGTGTGTGGGTGGAGCAAACCCAGCCATTGTACAGTAGCAGATCTAGAAGGATAGCACGAGCTGTGCTGCAATACGCTTCCAGACAACACTCAAACAGGTCTGGCAAATCATACCAGTCACCCCTTCGATTCAGAAGTTTGCAGTGTATACTGAGGATGGTTTGGTACAGATGAGCAGCACACGAAATTTATAATACCCATCTTCGGAAACTCAGGAATTTGCACAATTCCCGAACTCTTCCACTCGCACATCACTCATGCGCAGGGTCTGGTGGTGGAGATGGACGAGTATTTTACAAAACGACTCATAGTCTACAGGTATTTGTAAAAAAACTCGAACGAAATACACCCTGTTTCGCGCTAGCAGAGCATCTGGTTGCAGAACATGCACTGGTTGTAGAACGTCACCACGTTTGAAATGGTCTTATCACCGACGGTACAAGCACATTCACAAGAAAGCGGTTAGCTAGGATGCTGCATGGTAAAGAACATTAACCAAGCGTTTCAAAGCGGTTGAAAAGGGTATACAGCGATAAAGAAAAATTTTGCCCCCAGTACCACTCCGTCAGCTGGTGCGGCTTTGCCCGCAGGTTTCAGCCATACGGTTTATGGCACCTGACCGCACTGTAGCAGCGAATCACGCAAGGTGAGAGGGTCGAGAAACAGGGTGTAGCATGAAACCCTAGAACACGTGAACAACAGTGTAGTGAATGAATGACATGCAGTCTATAGCACCAGGTTCTCAAGCAGGTGCCTCCTCCCTCCACCTCATGTCGCACACATGAGCTCAGGCCGAAGCCGTCCACATGATGTCGCAGATGTCCACGCAGGGGCACCTCCAATTCCTCCTGGCTGCAGAATCTAGAACCTTCGCTCAAGACACGTGAAGGATTTCAATGTCACTTCACTTCCTGTCGTTCCCCGAGGCGCGCACTCCACATCGTGCTCGCGCTTCCTTCCTTTTTGGGATCCATTTTGGCCTCCCATATTCCATCCACTCACCTGCCCCTTTCCCTTGGCATCCCTGTTATTGCATACTGAACCCTCTACAACCTCAATACGTATTGCAAAACATTTACATAACAAGTAAGGCATGTAAGAAATGACAAAAAATAAGGATTCTACAAAGAACACAAACGTGCCAAACAAGTAGCTTTATCTCTTCCTAACGTCCATCTTGATTTTCATTATATCGCACCAGTATATTGTACGGATTAATAAAAACACACAATCGCCAGCAGCTGAGCAGTACCATACTACCGTATCATGTAGAGCATCACATCACCACCACCAGCCCCCTCAACTGCAGCACCCACCAGAGGTCTCTTAGAGGTGGCAGCAGCAAAGCGCACAGGGCGAAGGAGAGTTGACGCGGTCTGGTAGACTCTTAACACAACTTTTCCTCGTCCTCCATCTAACACCTCGACAGAGCTCTCCTCGTGAAATTTCCAGCACCACCAGCAGAAGCAGTAGTGCTTGCAGTAAAACCTTCCCCAGTAGAGCCTTCACCAGCAGAGCCTCCCTCGACCTCCTCCCCACCAGGACCCCCAGCAGCACCCACCAGAGGCTTCTAAGTGGTGGCAGAAAAAAGCAGAGGGTCGATGAGAGTCGAGGCAGTCTGGTAGACAAGCATGTCTCCCAGGATGTAGGCTGGGGGGAGGGGTGGGGTGGGGTGGGGTGGGGTGCGGTGGAGTGGGGGGAGCGATGGTTTAGGGTGGGGTGGAGTGGGGTGAAGATGGGTGAAGTTTGGGGCGTCTCAAGAACGTAAGAGGAGAGGGTCGATGAGAGTCGAGGCAGTCTGGTAGACAAACATGTCTCCTAGGATTTAGGCTGGGGGGAGGGGGCAAGAAAAGGTGGAGTGCAGTGCAGTGGGGTGGGGTGGGGTGGGGCGGGGCAGAGTGATATTTGAAGCGCTTCAAGAACTAAAGAGGTGAGGGCCGATGCAAACAATCATGTCACTCAGGATGTAGGGTGGGGGGTGCGGGGGGGGGGGGAGGAGGGGGGGGAGGGGGGAGGGGGGGGGTATTGAAGCGTGTTAAGAACAGGAAAGCAGAAGGTGGGCACACAGCCGATAGCAGCGCTCCTGACACAGTAGCAAACACGAGCTCGAGCGAGTAGCCCAGCGTTCTCTTTATCAGCCAATAGCACACACACACACCGCCGATAGCAGCGCTCCAGACACAGTAGAGAGCACGAGCGTGAGGGGAGTAGCCCAGCATTCTCTTTGTCAGCCACAAACCCATGCATCGTTGCATAACCAGAAGGAAGCAAATAAAGCTTACCATAGCTTGTGGTCCTAGGTCCCACACAGCGCACACACACGGCTGATAGCAGCGCTCCAGAGGCAGTAGCGAACACGAGCTTGAGCGAGTAGGTGAGCGTTCTCATTACTGGTCACACGCCCATGCATCTCTGCTGTAACACCAAGGAACCAGGATAGAGCTTACCATAGCTTGTGGTCCACGGCCCCACGTATCGCACACACACGGCCGACAGCAGCGCTCCAGAGGCGGTAGAGAACACGAGCTTGAGAGAATAGCTCAGCGTTCGCTTTACTAGCCACACGATCTGCACTCCTGTGGCCCTCACAGGGCTTATAGCGAGCCCCTGACCCGCTTGTGGTGGTGGTGGTGGGAAGAGTAGGCGGTGGAAGGCGGTGAAGGTATCCGTTATAAGCTGCACTGCTACACTGGATAGTGGGCTCAGGAAGTGTGCTGGTGTGGGGGGGAAGAATGGAGAGGAAGTGGGAGGGGAGGAGCGGGCGAGGGGGAACGGAGCACAACGTAATAAGTTGCACTGATGTAGAATCAGTAGGGTCGCTTCTGAGACCTCTCAAAAGCGAAGCACAACATTTTAAGTTGCACTGATATAGTATTAGTAGGGTCGGGACCTGGGCTGATAGAGCAAGGGAGGAAGGTGAGGTGACGAGTCTAGAAATTTGGGAGGTGCGGTGAGGAAGCAAGGGAGGCAGTAGTTACTGGGTGTCGCAAAAAATGGCGATGCAAGAAGGGCAGCACTGTTTAGGCGCCATATGAAGTGCATTTTGAGGCGCCTTTTGAGGCGCATTTTGAGGCGCATTTTGAGGCGCATTTTGAGGCGCATTTTGAGGCGCCTCAAAGTGCAAGAAGGGCAGCACTGTTTAGGCGCCATAGATCATGAAGCTGCAATGCAATGGAAAGCAACATTGATTGGGTACAAAAGAGATTTGGTGCATCTGTTAGGAAAAGCAGACTTTTGAGGTGCCTCAAAAGTCGCTGCAGACAATGAAGTTGCAAGTAAGGCAACATTCATTAGTAACAATAGATAATAAGCGCATCATTGAAAGTGTGCGCAGGAAAAGCAGCTATCTCTAGGCGCCCATTGAAAGGGGGAAGAACAGAATGCATGAAAGGAAAGTTAGAGAAGACAGGAGAGAGAGAGGAAAGGGATTAAGAGAGGCAGACGCTTATACCTCTGACGTTGGTGATTGTAACGGATTTGATTAGAGGGGAGCCTGTGAGACCCCTGCCCACCTTGCGAATGGCTGACTGGGTGGGATCTGGTGTGGGGCATATGGAGGGAGGGAAGATAGCGAACGGAAGAGCAAAGGGAAGAAGGGAGGGCACCTTAACAACTGCCTGTGAGTCCCCTGCTGCTGACCTTGCGAATGGCTGACTGGGTGGGATCTGGTGAGGGGCGTTGGAAGGGAGAGAAGGCGGAAAAAGGAGGAAGTGGTTTGAGACGCCTTGTACACTGCTTGTGAGTCATCCGCTGCTGACTCTGCGATGGCTGATTGGGTGGGGTCTGGAGAGGGGCGTTGGGAGGGAGAGAAGGCGGAAAAAGGAGGAAGTGGTTTGAGACGCCTCGTACACTGCTTGTGAGTCATCCGCTGCTGACTTCGCGAATGGCTGACTGGGTGGGGTCTGGAGAGGGGCGTTGGGAGGGAGAGAAGGCGGAGAAGAAATGGGGAGAAGTGACTTGTGAGACGTTTCAAGAGGACCTTTAAGTCAACTCACTTTTGAGAACTCTCAAAACCGAGACGTTTCAAGAGGAAGTCAACTCAAAAGAGACTTTTGAGATGCTTCAGAAACTGCTTGTGAGCCTCCCCTGCTAAATTGAGATGCTTCCAATGGGCCAAATTGTTGGGTGTAGGGTTTAGGGTGGTTAATGGGAAGGGTGCATGGAAGGGTGCATGGAAGGGTGCATGGAAGGGTGCATGGAAGGGGAAGGCAGTGGTTTTTGAAACGCCGTTTTGAAACGCCGCAAACAACTGCTTGTGAGTGCTCCCCTGCTGACCTTGCGCATGACCAAGTGGGGATGGGATCTGGTGAGAGGCGTAGGGAGGAAAGATTGAGAAGCGAGGAGTGGAGCTGGAAACACTACCAAACACTTTTCCTCTCTCACACACTCACGCTCACTGCTTTCCCTAACGATCTATCTCACCCGTCGTTCGTTTCAGCAGCCAATGGCCAGATACGGAACGAGCCACATAGAAGTGCTTCCCTTACCTACCTCCCTTCTCTCCTCCCCCTCCCTTCTTTCCCACATGATCATCTCACCCTTGGTTGATTACAGCAGCCAATGGCCGGATACGGAACGAGCCACATAAAATAAAATTGCTTCCCTTACCTACCTCCCTCCTCTCCTGTCCCTCAGCCCACTCAACCTTGGTCAGCTTACATAACCACCGGGCCGGGCAGACATAGTTCGAGCCACATACAAATGCTGACCACTCCCCTGCATTCCCTCAGCCCACATACAAGTGCTTTGCATTCCCTCAGCCCACATACAAGTGCTTTGCATTCCCTCACGACCATCTCACCCTTGGTCAGCTTCCACAGCCAGCGGGCAGACACGGTGCGAGCCAGATAGAAGTGCTCCCTCTTTCTGCATTCCCTCGCCGCGTTCATTCCTCTCCACACGATCAGCTCACTCACCCTTGGTCAGCTTCCACAGCCAGCGGGCAGACAAGATTCGAGCCACACAGGAGTGCGTCCCTCTTCCTGCATTCCCTTTCCCTGTGCATACTCGCCCCGTTCATTCCTCTCACACACGACCATCTCACTCACCCTTGGTCAGCTTCCACAGCCAGCGGGCAGACACGGTTCGAGCAAGATAAAAGTGCTCCAGCGCCCTGCGCACTGATATCACGGCCATCTGAATGGGGGAGATGGGGAGAGAAGGGGTGGGGAGGGGAAAGGTGGGATAAGATGGGAAATTCTTATTGACAAGATAAAAGTGCTCCAGCGCCCTGCGCACTGAGATCACCGCCATCTGAATGGAGGGGGAGAAGGGGAAGAGGGGGAAGGGGGGAAAGAAAGGAAGAAGGGGAAGCGGAGAGGGGGAGCGAGACAGGTGATTGTTGTTGACAACATAAAAGTGCTCCAGCGCCCTGTGCACTGAAATCACCGCCATCTGATGGGGCGGGGAGGAGTGGGGGGCACGGGGGGAAGGGGAAGGGGAGTGGGAGGGGGGGACGGGGGGGGGGAATAAGTGGAAGGGGGATGTGGAAGTGCTCCAGCGCCCTGCGCACTGATATCACCGCCATCTGATGCAGGAGAGAGGGGGGGAGAGAGGGGGGGAGAGAGGGGGAGAGAGAGGGGGGGAGAGAGGGGGGGAGAGAGGGGGGGAGCGAGGAGGGTCAAGACAGGAAATTTCTGTTTGGCAATGTGGGAGTGCTCCAGCGCCCTGCGCACTGATACCATGACCATCTGATGCGGGAGAGGGGTGGGGCGGGAGAGAGCGGGGGGAGTGGGGAAGGAGGGAGCGGGAAGGGGGTAGCGGGCATTGGGATCTTCCAATGCGGAAGTGCTCCAGCGCCCTGCGCACTGATATCACCATGACCATCTGATGCGGGAGAGGGGTGGGGGGGGGGCGAGGAAGGCGAGAGCGTGAAGGGGGTAGGGGGCATTGGGACAGAGATCACAGTTATTTGAAGAAGTAGATGGGGGAAGGGGGGGGGGGAGAAGAGAAAGTGGGGAAGGTGGGGATGGGGGAGTTGGGGAGAAGGCATGTGGAAGTGCTCCCACAAGGCCCTGCGCAATGAGATCACAGGCATCTGCATGGAGGAGAGAGTGCCCTGATCACTGATTTTGAGTCGACTCAAAAGCATCTGCATGGGGAAGAGAGTGCCCTGATCACTGAAGTGCTCCAATGTGGAAGTGCTCCAATGTGGAAGTGCTCCAATGTGGAAGTGCTCCAATGTGGAAGTGCTCCAATGTGGAAGTGCTCCAATGTGGAAGTGCTCCAATGTGGAAGTGCTCCAATGTGGAAGTGCTCCAATGTGGAAGTGCTCCAATGTGGAAGTGCTCCAATGTGGAAGTGCTCCAATGTGGAAGTGCTCCAATGTGGAAGTGCTCCAATGTGGAAGTGCTCCAATGTGGAAGTGCTCCAATGTGGAAGTGCTCCAATGTGGAAGTGCTCCAATGTGGAAGTGCTCCAATGTGGAAGTGCTCCAATGTGGAAGTGCTCCAATGTGGAAGTGCTCCAATGTGGAAGTGCTCCCAAAGGGCCCTGCGCACTGAGATCACAGCCAAGCCGCCCAGAGCTGAAGTTTGAGTCGATTCAAAAGTCACCTCTTTTGAGTCGATTCAGAAGTCACCTCTTTTGAGTCGATTCAAAAGTAACCTCTTTTGAGTCGATTCAGAAGTCACCTCTTTTGAGTCGATTCAGAAGTCCCCTCTTTTGAGTCGATTCAGAAGTCACCTCTTTTGAGTCGATTCAGAAGTCACCTCTTTTGAGTCGATTCAGAAGTCACCTCTTTTGAGTCGATTCAGAAGTCACCTCTTTTGAGTCGATTCAGAAGTCACCTCTTTTGAGTCGATTCAAAAGTAACCTCTTTTGAGTCGATTCAGAAGTCACCTCTTTTGAGTCGATTCAGAAGTCACCTCTTTTGAGTCGATTCAGAAGTCACCTCTTTTGAGTCGATTCAGAAGTCACCTCTTTTGAGTCGATTCAGAAGTCACCTCTTTTGAGTCGATTCAGAAGTCACCTCTTTTGAGTCGATTCAGAAGTCACCTCTTTTGAGTCGATTCAGAAGTCACCTCTTTTGAGTCGATTCAGAAGTCACCTCTTTTGAGTCGATTCAGAAGTCACCTCTTTTGAGTCGATTCAGAAGTCACCTCTTTTGAGTCGATTCAAAAGTCACCTCTTTTGAGTCGATTCAAAAGGGCCCTGCGCACTGAGATCACAGCCATGGCGCCAAGAGCTGCAATTGACAAAACCCACCCATGTGGACCCGCCCATGTGGACCCACCCATGTGGACCCACCCATGTGGACCCACCCACGTGGACCCACCCTTGTGGACCCACCCATGTGGACCCACCCATGTGGACCCACCCATGTGGACCCACCCCTGTGGACCCACCCATGTGGACCCACCCATGTGGACCCACCCATGTGGACCCACCCATGTGGACCCACCCACGTGGACCCACCCACGTGGACCCACCCCTGTGGACCCACCCCTGTGGACCCACCCATGTGGACCCACCCACGTGGACCCACCCACGTGGACCCACCCCTGTGGACCCACCCCTGTGGACCCACCCGAATGCACCGAGCCAACTAACCTCCCAAGCGCGCCAGTCCCACTCACCTCTCTCAGCGACAGCTGCATTGTGCATGCAGCAATCCGCCCAGCACCCATATTCCGCAACGCTGCAATCTTGTTCTTGATACGTCTCACACTCCACCCAAATGCACCAACCCCACTCACCACCCTAAGCGACAGCCATGCCGTCCCGGCAGCAATCCGCCCAGCACCCCATGCTCTTCTAAGCGCCTCGAATTTTGCCCAAACATGCTCACCTCACAGATGGACCAATCCTACCCTACCCACCTCTCTGAGCGACAACCTCGCCGTCCCGGCAGCAATCCTGCCTGCTCCCATATTCAGAAACGCTGCAATCTGCCTCTCCCTCTCCCTCCTTGCCTCCCACATGCGTCAGTCCCACTCACCTCTCTGAGCGACAACCACGCTGTGCCAGCAGCAATCCTCCCTGCACCCATATTCCGAAAAGCTGCAATCTTCCTCTCCCTCTCCGCTGCTTCCGCCGCTCTCCTCCTCTCCCTCTCCCTCCTCGCCTCCTCTTCTTCCTCGTCCTCCTCCTCCTCTTCCAGACTGGGAGCCTGAGCCTCTATATAGTCTGCAAACAGAGGGAGGATCTGGATAAGGCTGTTTCTCACAGCCATTATCAGCATGCCACGTGGACAGAAGGCGGAGTAGAGAGATCTCAGCTTCACCGTGTAGAGCTTCCCGTCCACTCGTTCCGTGATGATGTTAGCCGTTTTGCTGATGTCAGCACGAGCGCGAGCATCTTCATCATCAGAAGCTGCTGATGCTGTTCCGGAAGCTTCGCTTCCCTTCCCGTTGCTCTGCTCCTTTCGAGGACCTGTTCCCGAGCCTGTGCGCGAGGCTTGGTGAATCCATGGCTGGAAGGTCTGGTCCGAGGCTGTTTCGGCTCGGCAGTGCACGACGGGGAGGAAGCGTGAGAGGAGGGGTGAGGAGGGTGCGTGGGAGGAGAGAGAGGTGGGGCGAGCGACGAGGGGAAGAACTGCCTTGGGAAGAATGGAGAGAGGATTGTTGCTGCTGATGTTTCTGATGCTGCTGATGCTGCTGATGCTGATGCTGCTGATGCTGCTGATGCTGATGCTGCTGATGCTGATGCTGGTGGTGGTGGTTGGAAATTGGTTGGAATGGAAGCGACCTGAGAGCACCGCAGACCTGCACGCATCGGGTGGCAAGGGATTACACATGTCAGAAAAGAAAGGGTACAGGAATCTAGATAAATGTAATTGCGCGTAATGGAACAAGCCTGGGCGTGCGGACAGACCTGAAAGCGGACCCATGGGCGTCGCCACCCCGCGACGTGAAGTACGACCTCGTCGCGTAACCTCGATTCGTGCCTTTGACCGGCCCGGCAGACGCCATTTCGCCGTTTAATGTCACTTCAGCACACGAATTCGCTGTCCAAATCTCAGCAGGTTCGTCGTTACAGCACGATCCGAAACGAGATGAACGGCGACAAATGACTTCTTGGGCCTTGCTGCTGGCGCAAGGATCTAGGGTTTTTCGCGTTCTGCGAGATCGCCAGGTGGACAACGGCGAATTCCTATAGCAGAGAGCGGAGCCAATAGATTGGGCTGGGAGCACTTCAAAAAGCGCAGGAAACGAGAATCTTGAGCGACGGAAGAAGGGGAAAGGGAGAGCCAGTATCTCCCATAGTAACTTCAGTCTACATTACTGGCTCCTAAATACGGGGCTTCAAGCTCCTAGAGTACGTAACTTCCAGTCTATTTGTGGTGCAGTGAACTGGAGCTCCCAGGGCGGTTCATGCGTTCGGCCTTGGTTTCACCCGACCTTTCAAACATTTTTTTTCGGATTTCGAGGTTTTGCTGGGCTACCGTTTCGCATCTTGAAACAACAATCGACGATTGGTCTTCTGGTTGACCTGCTCCAGCGGAGGTGTCCGTTCGCCACGACGATTGATCTTCTCGCATGCTTTCGTCCGTGTGACTCATTCGATGTAACCCCTTCGAGTTTTCGTTTCGTGAGGCTCAAGCTCCCCATGAGGTGGAGGCAGAGATGTGGCTGTGCTGAACGAATCGTGTCATGTCGAGTGAACCGACCCCCAAGATTGCATACACAGTCTGAACATATTTGCCAATGGGACAATCCGACCCAAAATTCAGCACTAGATATCTGTGTTGTTGGTCCCATTGGCACCCAATTGAACGAACTTCGGTCGGGGGGCAAACCTCTCAAACGCCCACCTCACGCAACTCCAGCTCACATCCACCACTCCTCTTGCAGCTTGATTTGTTTCCCGCCAATTTTCTGACACCAGAATCCAAAAGCCACATCGAGATTCGAAAAATCCGACAACCCCAAGAGTACCAGCCAACCGGAAACAGGGAAACAGCAATGTAGAGGAACAGCAACGCAGAGAGACAAAACCAACACCAAGGGAAAACGCCAACACCATTCTTGTGTGCTTCCGCTTGTGCCTGCTAGCACTCAATGCTTTTCTTGGGATCTACGCCAGGTCCTCACATTTCTGAATCCTGATCTTAGACATTGCTCGCCTTCTTCATATCTCTCGTTGCGGCTTTCTGAGGTTTTTTCTCGTCGTCATTTTCGTAGCTCTTTGATTATTGCCTCTGACTAGCGGAGCTCAGTACGTTATACATATCAAGAATGGCGGACGAAGGCAAGTCCGTGGCGAAGATCATCGACGGCAAGGCCATCGCGAAGCAGATCCATGGCGAGGTGGCTGAGGGGGTGGCCAAACTAAAGGAAGCCACTGGGAAGGTGAGGACTTAGTTTCACGACTCTAGCGAATCTGCAGCAAACTCTGAGGGGTGCGATTCTGCTACAAAACAGCTCACATCATGGCTGTGCTGAGGCGCATTCGCGGGCAAAGGTTTGCACGGGTACGTTCTACCTACCCTCCGTTCGACATCCCCCCCATTCTACCTGTCGTGACCTTTACCTACTGTAGCTTGAGTCGCGAGTTGAGGTGAAAAGAAAGGCGCGCCAGGAAAATAGAAATCGCCTTTTACCCAGATCACTTCCTGCCGTCACCCCATCCCTGCCGCAGGTCCCAGGGCTGGCTGTGATTATAGTGGGGGAGCACAAGGACTCGCAGACGTACGCGAAGGTGAAGCCGTACCTGGCCATGGATATCCCCGTATAACTGAGCACGAATTCGCCTTCCTGCACGTTTCCTGCCGCCAATGCAGGTCCCAAGGCGCTAGCTGTGATTATAGTGGGGAGCGCAAACGTGCGCATGAAGGCGAAGGCGTGCCGGGAGGTGAGGATCGTCCTATAACTGAGTACAAGTTCGTGTTCCTACCCAATCCCCGCCAAACAGGTCCCAGGGTTGGCTGTGATTATAGTGGGGGAGCGCAAGGACTCGCAGACGTACGTGCGGATGAAGGTGAAGGCGTGCCAGGAGGTGGGGATCGCGTCGTTCGAGGGGAAGCTTCCTGGCGATGCCAGCCAGGATGACGTCATTGCTGCTGTCAGAGAGTTCAACGCCAACCCTGACGTTCATGGTGAGGTGCTGACACGTGTGTGGTGAGGCGCTGACGTGTGCATGATGAGGTGCTGACGTGTACAACATGAGGTACTGGCGTGTGCATGTTGAGTGCTGAGGTATGCATGATTAGTGCTGACGTGTGCACACTGAGATGCGAACGTGGATGGATCGAGTACCCCCACCTTCTCCCCAGTTCAAGCCAAGCATCCGCTCCTTTAATCCATTCGTCTTCTCTTCTTCCTATCCCCCTCCCATGCCGTGCCTCGCCCATCCCATCCCGTGCCTCGCCCCTCACATGCATCACCAGGCATTCTGGTTCAGCTCCCCCTGCCGGCACACATCAGCGAGGAGGCGGTGCTTGCTGAAGTGGCGCTGCCCAAGGACGTGGACGGCTTCCATCCAATCAACATCGGCCAGCTGGCGATGAAGGGGCGCCACCCGCAGTTCGCTCCATGCACTCCCGAGGTGGGTAGGGGTCTGGGTATTGGCGGGGGTTTGAGGCAATGGGATGTGGGGTGCAGGGAATGAAGAGAGGGCGAGGGGAGGGGGTGAGTGGAAGAGCATTGATGAAGGGGCGCCGCCCACAGTCCACCCCGTGCACTTCCGAGGTGGTTTTTTTTTAGACGTCTCAAAAATAACCTCATTACACATGGAAACACGCACTTGGTTTTCACGATTCTATGAGGTTGGATTCTTCCTCCCTGCATCCTCTCCCCTGCCATCATCTCAACTATTGCTCCCTCGGCCTCCTCCCTCCTCCCCCACCTTTCCTCCTTCCCCCCTCTCTTTGCAGGGCTGCATGGTTCTATTGGAGCACAGCGGCGTGCAGATCAGTGGGCAGATTGTGAGACGCCTCAAAAGTGCATCACCTCAGAACGCCCTCCCTCCCACTTCTCCATATTCAACTCCCATGCATCAACGTCCTCTGGTGCCACCCGCCCTTCTGCAGGGCTGCATCGTGCTGCTGGAGCGCAGTGGCGTGCCGATCAGCGGGCAGCGGGTGGTGGTGATTGGAACCTTCTATCCCTCCTCTCCCTGTCACATCATCCTAAAACCTCCAACCCCTTTTATTTTGCAGGGCTGCATGGTTCTATTGGAGTGCAGTGGCGTGCAGATCAGTGGGCAGCGGGCGGTGGTAATTGGGCGCAGCAACATCGTGGGCATGCCCGTGGCGATGCTGCTGCCACGGTCACCATCATGCTACCTTTGCTGCATCGTACCAGCTTCACCACCCTGCCGTTTCCCCTCTCCTTCCCCCCCTCCCTCCGCCCTCTCCTTCTCCCTGCTCCTTCCCTCCCTCCTTCTCCACCCTCCTTCCCTCCCTCTCCTTCCCCTTTTCTTTATCGTCTTCCCTCCCCAGGGCTGCATGGTTCTATTGGAGCGCAGTGGCGTGCAGATCAGCGGGCAGCGGGCGGTGGTGATTGGCCGCAGCAACATCGTGGGCATGCCTGCTGCGATGCTATTGGTGGAGAGGGACGCGACGGTTACCATAGTGCACTCGCGGACCAAGGAGCCCAAGGAGATCGTGAAGCAGGCGGATATTGTTATTGCTGCTATTGGGAGGGCCCAGATGGTGAGTGCAGTGCGGTGAGGTGCAGTGGAGTGCGTTGGAGTGCGGTAACTCGTAATGAGCAGAATAGTTGCCATAGTGCACTCGAGGACAAAAAAGCCCAAGGAGATTGTGAAGCAGGCGGATATTGTTATTGCTGTTATTGCTGTTATTACTTCCCATCCTTTCCTCCCTCCTCATCTCTCAATATTCGTTCCTTCTCCTTCCCTCCAGGTGAAGACTGACTGATTGAAGCTGGGGTGTCCGGTGATTGATGTGAGGATAAACGCTCCACCCTCACCCTCTATTTTCCTCCCCTGCCTTCCCCGTATAAACAGGTGAAGGGAGACTGGTTGAAGGCGGGGTGTGCAGTGATTGACGAGGGGATCAATGCAGTCGACGACGTGAGCAAGAAGGCGGGGTACCGCCTGGTGGGGGATGTGGACTATGAGGAGGCCAGGGAGGTGGCCGATCAACCGCACTCAACCACACTCAACCGCCTAGTGAATTGGCAGTAGGCAGTAGGCGGGGTACCGGCTGGTGGGGGATGTGGACTATGAGGAGGCCAGGGAGGTTCCCACTCAACCGCCGGCCTCCCTTCCCCCCCTCTCCTTCCATTTCCTCCCCCTAAACAGGTCAAAGCCGACTGGCTGAAACCGGGGTGTGCAGTGATCGACGTGGGGATCAATGCAGTGGACGATGCAAGCAATAAGGCGGGGTACCGGCTGGTGGGGAATGTGGACTATGAGCAAGCCAGGGAGGCTCATCTGCCTTGTTCCCTTTCTTCCCACTCAACCGCCCTCCTCCCTGCTCCCCTCCGTCCCCTCTCCTTCAACTCTCCTTCACCTCCTCCCGCTCGTTCCTTCTCCATTGCCTCTCCTACCCTCTCTATTCTCCACCAGGTGAAAGCCGACTGGCTGAAACCGGGGTGTGCAGTGATCGACGTGGGGATCAATGCAGTCGATGACGTGAGCAAGAAGGCGGGGTACCGGCTGGTGGGGGATGTGGACTATGAGGGGGCCAGGGAGGTGGCCGGGTGGATCACACCCGTGCCGGGGGGAGTGGGACCCATGACCATCGCTGTGCTGCTGCAGCACACTCTTACAGCCGCACAGAGGGCACTGGGGGCTAATTCATAGGGCTATACTTGAAAGTCAGTTGAAACAGGGAACTTGTTTGGATGGAAGGCGGGGTACCGGCTGGTGGGAGATGTGGACTATGAGGGGGCCAGGGAGGTGGCCGGGTGGATCACACCCGTGCCGCGAGGAGTAGGACCCATGACCATCGCTTTGCTGTTGCAGCACACCCTTACAGCCGCAGAGAGGGCACTGGGGGCTAGTTCTTAGGTCGGATTTAGCTAGAATCGAAGGCATTGAGGCTTGAGTCAGACAAGGTTGGTGGCTGGGTGGATCACACCCGTGCCGGGGGGAGTGGGACCCAGGACCATCGCTGTGCTGCTGCAACACACCCTTTCAGCAGTGCAGAGGGCACTGGAAGTCAGCTGACAAAGACTGAGGTAGGTTGGGCACACTCCAGCAGGGACTGAACATTGAGCAATGCCGTGTTGCTGCAAGAGAGGCAATGTTTGCGGTTGCATAGGCCATTACGGTCTGTCTGTTTTCATTTTGTTGGACGTTTTGGGGACTGGTTCATTGTTTTGTAAGCAGGCTGCGCAACAGGCCAGTCTGAAATTTTGAGTGATATGGGCACTTCACAGAAAACCATCACCAGTACGAAAGATGCCCACGGCCATACCATCTCATGCATTTCATGTTAGCGGCGTCTGAATCTTCAAACACGAACTCAATGAGAGACTACTGTACCTCTCTACCCGTTGAGTGCTTCCCCCAAAACTGCTTTGACGATTGAAGGGTATATAGAGGTTTACCCTGTAGCTTCTTACAGAGCAGCTACTATTCATAAGGTGCCCAATCAAGTTCACCCTGTAGCTACTCTGAGTAGCTGTTTCGATTATAAAAATGCTGGGAAATCTTCCCTCTGGCATGCGCCAAAAGGTGCGTACCTAGGGTACTTACCCCGTAGCTTCTTCCAGTAGCTGTTTCTCAACAGCCATTCTCCGAGCCACCATATCCCCGTACCTTGCGTGCAGGTCCGGGGATCCGGCAGGGATTGCTTCGGAAAGAGACACAGCGCTAGGGGCTGCTGCTGATGTGGCACCTTCTGCAGAGGCACTTGCTGAGCTGGCACCTGCAGAGGTGGCGCTTGCTGAGGTGGCACTTGCTGAGCTGGCACCGGCTTGAGCCAGGAGGGAGGTGAAGGGGAGAAAGGAGCCTTGGGTGTGGCAGAGATAGCCGTGTGCTGCTCTCAGCGCTGCTCCCAACGAGGCAGAGTCTGGAGATGGGAGGGAGGAAAAAGGGTGGGAGGCAGGTTAAGGGGCATGTGGGGGAAAAGAGCGATGAGAGGGTGGCGTGGGAAGGCAGAGGTAGCCGTGTGCTGCTCTCAGCGCTGCTCCCAGCGAGGCTGAGTCTGAAGAGGAGGGAGAGGAGATGGGGTGGGATGGGATGGTTGGAAGCAAGGAGAGGAATGAGAAACGAGAGGGGGAGAGAGGAAGGAGCCTTGGGTGTGGCAGAGGTAGCCGTGTGCGTGCTGCTCTCAGCGCTGCTCCCAGTGAAGCGGAGTCTGGAGATGGGAGGGAATGGGAGGAGATGGGAGGAGATGGGAGGAAATGGGAGGAGATGGGAGGAGATGGGATGGGGAGATGTGAGGAAAAGAGTGAGAGGAGGATGGCATTGGAAGGCGGAGGTAGCCGTGCCGTGTGCTTCTCTCAGTGCTGCTCCCAACGAGGCAGAGTCTGGAGTGGGGAGAAGATTGGAGGAGTTTGGAGAAGATAGGGGGAGACGGGAGATGGGAGATGGGAGATGGGAGATGGGAGATGGGAGGGAAGGAAGGAAGGAGGAGAGAAGTGAGCGAAGAGAGACGAGAGAGAGAAAGGAGGCGCGGGTTTGGCAGAAGTATTCGTGTGTGTTGCCTTCTCCCAACGAGGCAGAGTATGGTGATAGGAGGAAATGGGAGGAAATGGGAGGAAGGTGTAAGAGAGGAGGTGATGTTAATCATTAACCCACATGACACACATGTAAAACGAGGAGGTTTTTGAGATGCTATGATTACAGAAAAAGGGACAGATGATGCGAACAGGTGTCTGGGGGCAACATTCGCAGCTTGTTTGAATCACCTGTGGTTGCGGAGGTATACACTGGGCAGCCAAAAACATTTGCCATGGTGCGCAAAATTGCCTCATTGGCTGAGCCGCCACCCGTGGCAATGATCCGGGCAGGTGGACTTTGCAACCCGATTCTCTCCGCATGCCCTCTCATTGACACCAACTGCCCTTCCACCAATGCCCTGATCTGTAAGGCATAGTGAGAATCATGGAAGTGGGGGGAGAGGGATGAAAGGAGCACGAGAACCAAGTGGTTTTGGAGTCCAATTCTCGCTGCATGCCCTCGCATTGACACCAGATGCCTTTCCACCAATGCCCTGATCTGTGGGGGGGGGGCGGGGATCATGGAAGTGGTGGGGGAAGGGGAGGTAGGAAGGGAGGTAAGAGGCTTTGCAGCCTGATTCACTCCGCATGCCCTCGCATTGACACCAGATGCCTTTTCACCAATGCCCTGATCTGTGAAACAAAGAGTGAAGAATAACAAATGAACGACAATTGATGGGGGCCGCCGAAGGAACAGGAATCAAGAAAACGGAGAACCTTCAGCGGAACAGGAACCAAGAGCAACGGAACAAACATACTGCAGCGAGTGTTTTTTGAGAATTCTCAAAAAACCCTCGAAGGAACAGGAATCAAGAAAACGGAGAACCAAGAGCAACGGAACAAACATACAGTGATTCTATCGCTATCTGCCCCTTCATTATCCGCCCCTCCATTATCCGCCCCTTCATTATCCGCCCCTTCATTATCCGCCCCTTCATTATCCGCCCCTTCATTATCCGCCCCTTCATTATCCGCCCCTTCACTATCCGCCCCTTCACTATCTGCCCCTTCACTATCCGCCCTCTATCACCCCTGTGCAAGCAAGGTTACCTCTTGTGGTGGTTCGAAGGTTTGATCAGAGGAGAGGCGAGTGAGAGAGTCGTCCCCACCCTGCCTTGGTGAAAAGCGATGGGTCCCCACTGTAAGGATGCGGCAAAGGGGCGATGAGATAGGCAGAATGTTGATGAGTAGAGAGAGAGGATTACTCTTGAAAGCCCGTTCAGCCTTGAATAAGTTACTCACGCCCTCTGTTGGTGAAAAGCGATGGGTCCCCACTGTAAGAAAGGGGGACTGTAAGAAAGGGGGACAGCACAGCACAGGGGAGAGGTATGGGACAGGTGATCCATCCGTATGGGACAGGTGATCCATGGGATGGGACAGGTGATCCATGGGATGGGACAGGTGATCCATGGGATGGTACAGGTGATCCATCCGTATGGGATGGGACGGATGATACCAGAGATGGGATGGCATGATGGCATCTGAGTCAAATGCTACTTAGGTGACTTTTGAGTCGACTCAAAATATGGCATGATGGCATCTGATTCAAATGCTACTTTGGGTAAGTATGTAAGAGTGTAAGCAGCTCCACCTTATGATTGCTAGTGGAGGGATGATCTCTGGGTCGAGATAGTGGAATCTCAGTCGGCCACCTGCCCAGCCCATGCACCCAGCTGCGCAGCCCATTCACCGAGGTCGTTTTTGAGGCGCCTCAAAAACGACTCCAGCTGCCCAGCCCATGCACCCAGCTGCCCAGCCCATGCACCCAGCTGCCCAGCCCATGCACCCAGCTGCCCAGCCCATGCACCCAGCTGCCCAGCCCATGCACCCAGCTGCCCAGCCCATGCACCCAGCTGCCCAGCCCATGCACCCAGCTGCCCAGCCCATGCACCCAGCTGCCCAGCCCATGCACCCAGCTGCCCAGCCCATGCACCCAGCTGCCCAGCCCATGCACCCAGCTGCCCAGCCCATGCACCCAGCTGCCCAGAGGAAGATTGAGTACCTAACAAGGTCGTAACTTACCAGGCAGTGGAGGATGATCTCCGGGTCAAGATAGTAGAATCCCATTTGCCCACCTGCACAAATGCCCACCTGCCCATATGCCCACCTGCCCATATGCCCACCTGCCCATATGCCCACCTGCACATATGCCCACCTGCACATATGCCCACCTGCACATATGCCCACCTGCACATATGCCCACCTGCACATATGCCCACCTGCACATATGCCCACCTGCCAAGACGTACCTGGTTCGTGTGAGTACCTAAGAAATTGATAACCTGGTTACCAACTTACCAGGCAGTGGAGGGATGATCTCCGGGTCAAGATAGTAGAATCCCATTTGCCCACCTGCACAAATGCCCTCCTGCACATATGCCCACCTGCCCATATGCCCACCTGCACATATGCCCACCTGCACATATGCCCACCTGCACATATGCCCACCTGCCAAGACGTACCTGGTTCGTGTGAGTACCTAAGAAATTGATAACCTGGTTACCAACTTACCAGGCAGTGGAGGGATGATCTCCGGGTCAAGATAGTAGAATCCCATTCGCCCACCTGCCCAGGCGTTAAGAAAGAGGGTAAGAAGTGATGAGATGGGGCAGTGAGGAGGTGAGGAGGTGAGGAGATGAGGTGATGAGGAGGTGGGGAGATGAGGAGAAGAGGAGATGAGGAGGTGGGGAGGTGAGGAGATGAGGAGATGAGGAGATGAGGAGATGAGGAGATGAGGAGATGAGGAGATGAGGAGATGAGGAGATGAGGAAATAGAACGATATTTGGGTGAAGCTAATGCCCCAGATAGTAGAACCCCAGATAGTAGAACCCCAGATAGTAGAACCCCAGATAGTAGAACCCCAGATAGTAGAACCCCAGGAGACACCTTCCCAGACGTTGTAAGAGCCGCAAACGGGGGTCAGGAGGTCAGGTCAGAAGGCAAGTGAGGAGGTGAGGTGGGGAGGTGGGGAGGTGAGAAAGTCGGGAGGTAGGGAAGACAGTGGGCCGGCATGGAGGCCTGCATGCACACAGTTGACTTTCGAGTCGACTGAACAGTCACCTCGGGCCGGCATGGAGGCATGCATGCACACAGTTCACAGCACACACCAGCTAGACCATGTATGCAGCACCGGCACACACCATTCAACGGCGGGGCGTCATTCAGCAGGTGGCAGAATGTCTCCCACGATCCTCCTGCACAGCCAATCCTCCATTCTCACACCATGCTCTCCCAGGTAGCCACACCAGCTAGACCATGTATGCAGCACCGGCACACACCAGTCAACGGCGGGGCTTCATTCAGCAGGTGGCAGAATGTCTCCCACGACCCTCCTGCACAGCGGTCCCTGATGGCTGGTGGTGGTGGGATGGTGGGAGGAACGGATGATGGGAGCGTGAGAGGATGGAATGATGGGATTAACACATACTTCGATCAAGTCACACACAAGGTCACGCGGATAATCAGCCGCATATGAACGTATAAAGTCGCACCAGCAGGAGCCTCGACCGCCCAGAACAGATGATCAGCTGCATATGCAAGCTTTTAGTGCTACACTGTGAGAACGCCGGTACCTTGCCGAGTGAGCGACCCGTTCGTATAACAGATCATGGCCATAAACGAGGATGGATCCACTGGGTTGGGAAACACGTGGCCCTCCAGACCAGGTTGAGGATCCATCACGACTGCAAACACCTGGTTGGGATGGGATGGGAAGAGGTGGGAAGGGGTGGGAAGGGGTGGGAAGGGGTGGGAAGGGGTGGGAAGGGGTGGGGTGGGATGGTATGGCAAAGACATGACCCTCCAGCCCAGGCTGAGGGTCCATCACCACCAAAGAACACACCTGACTGAGAAAACACCTGACTGAGAAAACACCTGACTGAGAAAACACCCGACTGAGAAAACACCCGACTGAGAAAACACCCGACTGAGAAACACCCGACCGAGAAAACACCCGACTGAGAAAACACCTGACTGAGAAAACACCTGACTGGGACAAGGTGGAGATGATGGAGATGTTTGCATGCACTAGTCCAAAAAAACCCAGTACAGTGGTGTCAGTAGCAGACAGGTGGGCTGCGGAGGTCTTACTGCCATCAACTCTTGTGGTTATTGAATCGACGAGACAAACCCCATGGAATGAAAGGAAAAACCCGGTTAACTGTGAGCTTAGAGCGTTATCTTAGAGAGCCAGTTTAAACAAATCGTCAATCGTACCATACGAGACCATACCATACGAAACAATACGATACCATACGAGACCATACCATACGATACATACCCTGCAACAAGTGCAAGCTAAACTTGGCTATCAAGAATCTCACCTGTATCAAGCCTCTTGATACAGAAAAGCTCAATTAGAAGCTAAAACGATCGATACACAAATGCAAACGCACTGACTCACAATCACACCTACTGACCTACTGAGACGCTTCGAAGCAGTCTTTTTGTTTGAGGCGTTTTGAGGCGCCTCGACAAAAAGATGGATGGATGGATGGGAGGATGTCCTTCTGCAAAACCATCCAAAGTCACTCACAGTGTCGCTCGTCCCCAGGCTGATGCCCACATCGCCCGAACCTCCCAGCGCCAAACCTGCGACGCAGGCATGGCAGGTGGCAGGCGATGGTCCGGTCCAGCTTTAGGTTTTAAAAGTACCTTTTCTTTCAAAGAACACCAGAAAAAAACTGGCAAGCTGGCGACCAGCCAACATGGTCAACATAGTCAACAGGGTCAACAGGGTCAACATGGTCAACATAGTCAACAGGGTCAACAGGGTCAACATGGTCAACAGGGTCAACAGGGTCGACATGGTCAACTAGTCAACAGGGTCAACATGGTCAACAACAGGGTCAACATGGTCAACAGGGTCAACAACAGGGTCGTCAACATGGTCAACATGGTCAACATAGTCAACAGGGTCAACAGGGTCAACAGGGTCAACAGGGTCAACAGGGTCAACATGGTCAACAGGGTCAACAGGGTCAACATGGTCAACAGGGTCAACATGGTCAACAGGGTGCATGGCATGAATCTTACCAGCAAGGCTGCAAGGGTTATCCCCTGACCACGCCACGACTTGGCAGCTTGGGGAGAAGCCAAACCTGCAGAGAGCAGGAAAGCAGGGCGTGGAGTGGGAGGGGGGGAACAGGAGGCTTTCTACTGAGCCTGAAGGGTTATCCCCGGACCACGACACGACTTGGAAGCTTGGGGAGAAGCCAAACCTGGAAAACAAGGAGGAAAGAGGGGGGAGGCGGGAAACGAGGGGTGGAAAGAGGGGAGCGACATGAAGAGGATGCAGGGCAGCGGAGGTCCAAGGGTTGTCTCCTGACCACGCCACGACTTGGCAGCTTGGGGAGAAGCCAAACCTGCAGAGAAGAGAGAAAGATGGGGGATGGGGAGCGGGGGAAGGCAGCTCACTGCTCATGCCCTGACCTGACCACACCACGACTTGGCAGCTTGGGAAGAAGCCAAACCTGGAAAGTAAGGAGGAAAGCAAGGGCGGGGGGGGGGACAAGGGGCTCAGGAGGCGTTTACCGGCTACTGAGCCCTATGGTTGTCGCCTGTCCATGCCACGACTTGGCCATTCATTACGTGCATTCACTTCAACTTGGCCAGCTTGGAAATTCACCTCAGGTGGAAGGCAAGGCGGCTCAAAGTTTGAGACTCAGACACAGCACATGCATGCACGCATGCACCTCTCAAAATACAACCGATGCCTCAAACGCAACACATGCAGCACGCACCTGTCCACGTAGTACTACTGATGCACACTCCCAACCACTTGGTGGGAGAAACCTCAAAGAGAGCGCGTGCATGCATGCATGCACACACGCACACACAGCACAGCACAGCACATGCACACACCTGTCCACGTAGTACTGATGCACGCTGCCAATCACTTGGTGGGACGGAACCACCTTGCCGAGCCTCTCTCGAAGGTTCGGCGCCGTGGCCTGTCAGGCTCGGGAGGGGGGAGGGGGGAAGGTGAGTGGGGGGGGGGGGGCGGGAAGGGTGAAGAAATGGACAAGCGATCAAGGTATGGATAAAAAATGCTGACGGGATCTCACGCGACACGATGGAAGCATGCGGTAGATAACAAGGTGTGATGAGTAGGGTTGAGCACGGGCCAGGCCCGGCCCAACCCGCGGGCTGCCCCAAAAGGCGGGCCGGGCCCAGCCGGGCTCGCCCCAGGCCAAATGAGCCAGACCTTGACCCAGTTCGCCCAGGGGATACCTGAGTCGAGTTTTGAGTCGACTCAAAACCCAGCCGGGCTCGCCCCAGGCCAAATGAGCCAGACCTTGACCCAGTTCCCCCAGGGGGTACCTGAGTCGAGTTTTGAGTCGACTCAAAACCCAGCCGGGCTCGCCCCAGGCCAAATGAGCCAGACCTTGACCCAGTTCGCCCAGGGGGTACCTGAGTCGAGTTTTGAGTCGACTCAAAACCCAGCCGGGCTCGCCCCAGGCCAAATGAGCCAGACCTTGACCCAGTTCGCCCAGGGGGTACCTGAGTCGAGTTTTGAGTCGACTCAAAACCCAGCCGGGCTCGCCCCAGGCCAAATGAGCCAGACCTTGACCCAGTTCGCCCAGGGGGTACCTGAGTCGAGTTTTGAGTCGACTCAAAACCCAGCCGGGCTCGCCCCAGGCCAAATGAGCCAGACCTTGACCCAGTTCGCCCAGGGGGTACCTGAGTCGAGTTTTGAGTCGACTCAAAACCCAGCCGGGCTCGCCCCAGGCCAAATGAGCCAGAGCTTGACCCAGTTCGCCCAGGGCGTACCTGGGCCGGGCCTGGCCCTGCCCGGGTGCACTTTCGTTATAGGTAAACTGTTCTTTGGGCCAGTTTTAGAGAAGCAAACAAGTCTAGGGCCCAAACGGGCCGGCCCGGCCCGCCTTGTAACGGGCGGGCCAAAAGCAGGCAGACGACAGCCCGGTGGGGCGGGATTGCCCGGTCCGCCCCGAGCCAACAGCCCAACCTAGAGGTTCGGCCCGGGGCAGTTTCAGGCTGGCCCGACCCGGACCGGGCCCAGCCCGACCCTGTACTCAACCCTAGTGATGAGGAATGCTTGACTGACAGAATGCTATTGCAAAAGTGGTATCTAGAGGATTTTCAGCGTGCCACTAGCAGCGTTACTCAGAACGATCAAATGTATGGTTTGATAACATAAGAACATCACTGCAGCACTTTGACTGACCTCTTGTGCCACGTCAGCTCACCTCCAGTGCCACGTCAGCCCACTGTCTCGTCCGCAGATCCATCAGATTCATCCCAGCGCCGTCAGCAGCATCGATGGGAGCGTAATCTCCAACCAATAGCGATGCGCCAAACGAGCTCACTAGAGAGATCCTTTCGGTGCTCTCATACTCCCGAGCCTGATGCTGCCACACTCGCCGAACCTGAGGTCCGGTGAACCGCTCGTAGGCTCGGGAGCCCGTCAGCCGAGCCAAAGCTGCAGGTCCGCCAAGAGCTGCTTCGATTTCCCTGCACTGGGCTGCTGTGCTGCTGTCCATCCAAATCGGGGAATCTAAAATTGAAAATACACTCTGCTGCAATGATGCATTGTCTTGAAACGAATCACCCTGTGCTGAATCATTCGAGCTGAGCCCCTCCCTTTTCCTGTTTCTCTCATCCCCACATAGCTGAGCGAAAAGGGTCTGGTCAGACTTGAGATTTTTAAGGCGTGCCCGGGCTCCTCTCCGCCAGAAAACGCTCCCGTGCTGCTGCCCGCTGCCGGAAACTGCCCGGACTTTATCAAATGGAAAGTCCGCTTCCTTCAACCTCGCTAGAATCACATCAAAAGCCTCCACCCACATGGCTGGTGGTGCCGTGACCCTAAGCGCCGAGCCTGACGAGGAGGCTCGGGAATCAGGTTCGGCGGAGGCACGGTGGACGCCTCCAGAGGTTCGGTAGTGGGGGAGGGTTGTATCGTACTGGAGTGACTCGGTAGCGACGATTCGAAGAGAGGAATCAATTGCTGTGGCCTTGAGTGACCTGAAAACGGTGTGATTATAAAGGGGGAAGGGGGTGAGCGTAGGGGGGGGGGGAGGGGTTGGGAAGGGGGGAGTGGGGAGAGAGGGAGGGGGGAAGGGAGGTTGGAGGTTTTAAGGGTGAGCTTATGTGGGGACAGTGTCATATTGGAGTGATTCCATAGCGACGTTGCGAAGAGAGGAATAGATAGATGTGACTTTAGTGACCTGAAACGCCGTTGACGGAGGAGGAAAGGGGGCGGGGAAGGGTGTGGATGGGAGGGTAGCGGGGAAAAAAAATGGAGAGGGTAAGCAATTCAGGTTAGAGGGTGCGGGAAATCAATGACTTTTGAGTCGACTCAAAAGTCAATTCAGGTTAGAGGGTGCGGGAAATCAATGACTTTTGAGTCGACTCAAAAGTCAATTCAGGTTAGAGGGTGCGGGAAATCAATGACTTTTGAGTCGACTCAAAAGTCAATTCAGGTTAGAGGGTGCGGGAAATCAATGACTTTTGAGTCGACTCAAAAGTCAATTCAGGTTAGAGGGTGCGGGAAATCAATGTCAGCTTCATAATGCAGTACCTCAATCAGTAGCGCGTGTCCCTGCGCCGCCAATCAGGCAACGCGGTTCAGTTCGGTGTGCGCGCCAAGCCTGCCTGGGATAGTTTCTGCCCGAAACATGCCCTGATTTGTGGCACTGACGAAAGCGAATATTCGTCAACTCACTGCGTGGAGCTATCGAAGCCGAGAAACATTCGTCCAGACACAACAACGGCTTTCGAGTCGACTCGAAAGGCATTCCAAGACCCAACAAATGGCCTTATTTCCTACTCACTGCGTGGAGCTGTCGAAGCCGAGAAACAGGCCGTCCAGACCCAACAATGCTGCCATTGTTACGCTGTCGATTTTTTCCAACCAACGGCTATGACGTCGAGAGTTTCCAAGAGACGGCTACGATGTCAGGAGAGGTAAAAAGCAAGAGATAGACGACGTTTCCAACCAGCGGATACAGTCATCCGCTTCACGTGCGCGAGACGAGATTTTTCAGGCTTCACTTTCTTGACTGTAGTGTAGCGTAGAGTCACTTAGGTGGTTCAGAGGCGTATGTATGGATGGCGGGATGCCTAGATGTGTCTAGGTGCTGTACCGATCTTTGTGACTACTCTCGAAGTGCATCTGAGAAATCCAGGTGCAGAAATTCCCGAACACCAGGAAAAAGAGAGGAACATTACGGTGTGACGAAATCAACCTCGTGACGTCTCAAATCTATTCGGATTGCGGTTTTTAGTGCATTCCTTGCGGAACTGTATGACGAAGGATGTCGCATGTGGTTCTATTCGTGACAGGGTTGATCACTCAACCGCCGATCTACGTGTGACACTCGTCACCGATTTGGCGCAAGGACACTAAGCAACGAAGAGTCGAATCTGAGCTCAATGTGGTGAGGAAATCATTTTCGAGAATGCGGGCTCGAAAACCTGGGTTACATAGCGCATACCTGACGTGACAGTTTTTCATTGGGTGCAAAAATCAAATCAGCATTGTTCAAACTTCCACGTTCAAAATTTTCAATCTCTATTCCTTGCCAGCACCGCCCATGCGCGGTCATCCTTTGAACCTCAGCGTATAGAACACGAAAACCGCCACCTTGAGGCGAGCCCTGCACATGCTAGGTATCGGCCCCGCGCGAAGTGGGGGGATTTCGCATTCCCAAGCAGGGCGAAATTACGTGATTCGCCAAGTACAATACAAAGTGTTTACTTTGTCATTAGACCAGATTCGGAGGGAAGTTACAACATTGCACAAACAAGTATGCTCAACTACTTCTATTGCAAGCACCTGAACAACTACTCACAAGCTGGAGTAGTTGCACGTTCTCTTTCAACAACGTTACGTTCTTTTCGAGACGTTCTTGCACTCGTCACTCTGTTTTATATGTGGTTCTTTCCCCGTAATCTATCAATGAGTCAATTTCGTTTCTTCTTTCGTTGGACACCAAGTATACAGATTGCGAATGCCACAAGCATGTTCCAACAAGTCCGCATACTCAAAACATGTGCTTCTTGTCAGAATACTGTTATAACTGCATGTAGTTCTAGTGTAGTGTAGTTCTATATTTGTACTTTCTTGGTGGTGCACCCTTTCCTGAACTATATCTTGTACCTCTTTCTCATATTGAACCATTCATTTCTCCTCTCTCTTGGCACAAACCACTCGACTTCTCCTTGGCCTAGGCTACTAAGCCTAGGCCCCCACTTAACTCTCAACTACCTCTTAAGCTCGTTATTCAACATGGCATTAGAGCGAGTTACGTCCTGGCCTGTGGGCCCGCCTCACGCTTCCGCTACTATTTTTCCGGTCGCGCGCCTCGGGCGCGTGACGATTTTCGTTCTGTCCCGCGCCCGGGTGGCGCGTAACGTTTTTTCTGCCCGTCGCGGACCCGCCCCTGGCGCCCGCGACGGTGCCTTGAGCCGTCGCGGACCCGCCCCTGGCGCCCACGACGGTTCCCTGAGCCGTCGCGGACCCGCCCCTGGCGCCCGCGGCGGTGCCACTGCACCACCCAGCGCCTGCCCTTGGAGCAGCCGCCCCCGCTCCTCCACTCGGTGCAGCCGCCTCTGCCTCACCCCGCGCCTGCACTCGCTGCAGCCGCCCCTGACCTACCCGCGCCGACCCTCTGTAGCCGCTCTGCGGCTTTCTCCTTGCCCACCCCCTCCTCCTTCGTCTTCCTGCAGCCGTGGGGGGGAGGGCATGGGGGTGGCGGGTGTGGGGTGATGGGTGGTGTGTTTCCCTTCCCCTCCTCCTTTCGTTCCCACTGCTGCAGCTGCTGCTGGGGGGGAGGGTGTGAGGGTGTGGGGGAGCCCGGGGAGTGGCATTGGGGTGGCGGATGTGAGACAAACCAGCCCCCGTCCCTCTGAGGTGGGGGGGGGGGGGGGAGGAGAGTAAGGGGGTGGCAGGAGTGCCTGCCCCCCCCCCCCTTTGCTGCCTGTACCTGCTCTGCTGCCTTGCGCTGTTTCTCTGTCTGTGGTGTACCCCTGCAGGTTGTGTCCTGCACTTCACTATTCCTGCATGCAGTTACGGGGGGATGTCAGAATACTGTTATAACTGCATGTAGTTCTAGTGTAGTGT